GGCTTACCGTATATTAGACATGGGTAATCGGTTCTTCTCTGTTTTGCTGCTCTGGTCTCTGATTTCTTGTTCTTCCTACTATGGGCATTGCTGTTGCTTAGCGTCATATCTCCTGTAACTAACAGGTTTTTTTCCTGTGAGATCCATTTAGCTGCTCAGCGTTTTCCTTCTGCCCAGTCCCACTTTGGCTCTAATTGGGTACATATTAATTGTATAAATTGTGCTTTCTGCATCCAGATGTGTTTTTCCACCTATCCGTTGCAGTTTTCCAACGTGACTTTCGTTTCTTGTTTGCTGCAGTTATATTTCAATCTCTTCTTCATGACCTGCATTGACCTTCAGGTATGTCCCTTTTGGCCTCCTTTTGTGCTTTATGTTTTTTTGGTTCCTATTTTTTGCAGGAAGCCTAAGCTGAACGATCATATTTTGAGCTTCAATTTTTGGGTGCTGAGAGATTTCAGCCCTTGTCTTTTTATTTTTGATTATTGTATTATTAGTCTAAGGAACCACAGGCTCATAGGGCTTTTTTACTTTCAACTTGTAGCTCTTTCGAGCATTAGCGAGCTAGTGGATCCTTTTAAGGACTGTGTAACCTCTTTTTTGAAATTAACACGTAGGCCCCTCTACGGGTTTTAAGAGATTTCAGCCCTTGTCTTTTTATTTTTGATTATTGTATTATTAGTCTAAGGAACCACAGGCTCATAGGGCTTTTTTACTTTTTACTTGTAGCTCTTTCGAGCATTAGCGAGCTAGTGGATCCTTTTAAGGACTGTGTAACCTCTTTTTTGAAATTAACACGTAGGCCCCTCTACGGGTTTTAATTAAAAAAAAAATTTCTTTATTATACTCTAGTTATGGACTATTAATAAAATAGAATATTAGCTTTTTTTTTTGCTTACTCTTAGTATCTATATTACTTATATATGAGCTTTCTCTTTTGATTATAAAATAGGTTCCAATCAAACTTACCTTATGAAGCTTGTTTCAAAAGTTGAGTTTAATGCATCTATCATGTCCCATAACTATATGAAATCCAGTCATTACCGGCGGCTTAGACCGGCGGTTGTTTAGCTGCTGGTACTAACGGCGGTTTATCTGGCGGTTTGGCCACCGACCGGCGGCCCAACCGACCGTTATGGAAGCTTATGCCTCCAGTAATAGCGACAGTCAAAAAACCGCCGGGTAAACCGCCGGCTTTAAAAGTTACCGGCGTTGTACCGGTGGCCAAAACCGCCGGTGTTAAGTGATTTATTTACCGGCGGTAAAAGCCGTCGGAACACCACCAGAAATCTCTTTTAACTGCCGGTATTTTACCGGGTGTTTACCGACGCTGTCCGGCGGTTGTTCGGAGACACTCCAGCGGCTACAACCGTCAGCAATGCCGTCGGTGCTGACCGTCAGTTAGCCGTCGATACGTTTCCCGGCAGTCGAACGACGGTATTTGTACTGGCGGTTGGACGGCCGGAAAGCCACCGGTAACAACTCCAGCAATAACCGGTGGTGTAGGCCGTCGGAAAGCCATCGAGGAAATAAACCGCCGGAAAAACACCACCGGCAACGGTTTCCGACGCCGTTTTTTTTCAGAACCGCCGGTATTTACAGGTAAACCGCGGGCAAAAACTGCCGGTAATGAGCAAATTTCATGTAGTGCATATTATCGAAAAATTATTTATGCAGACGCCGAAAGCATTTCACCATCCGGAGATCAACCAGAATGCGCCACATCAACAATACTGAGCACAGTACCGAGCGGGGGCTGACGTGGTGCATTCTGGTTTGTCACTAGATGGCATTCAATGTCCGCACAAAAATAATTTGCCCACATTATCAGAGTGTAATATATTAATGATTAATTTTATTATTGATATATTAAAATCACCTTCCAGACTTGAGGCGTGAGAGAGTGGTAGCAGAGCTATCAACTAAACATTCAATATTCCTTATTTACTTTGGATCATGTCGTGGAACATATTACCTTAGGTTATTTATGATAATAATTAGTATATTTTATTATATTATATAATTCCTTACCTATTTATTTTATTTTGGTATACTATGAAAAAGGGACACACATGACGGTCAGTAGTACAATGATAGAGATGCAATGAGTCGAGATCAATATGATAATAACCTCAAGATATTATTATGCAATATGTGCGCATCAACTAGTCTATTGCCAATAAGATTTAAGGAATATGGTTTGAAGGCGCATAGCAAAATACTAGCATACCTTTAAGCTCAATCATTTGATGAATTTTTTTTTTTTTTAAGGTATTAGTAGAAATAGAGTGGCCATTGGTCACATTTTTTTTAGAAGGGGGTTTCATTGTATTACAATTTTTATCTTATCTTTTAAAAGATCCTAAGAGCTTGAGCTTTTTTCAAACATAAGCAAAATCAACACAAATGACTTATATAATGAAAGTTAAAATCTTTAAATCTACTGAGAAGTGTGATCAAAGAGGACATACAATTAATGTGAGGAGAAGTGACATCACGAGCACATATAAGGCTTCACTGACTCAGTCCATTAATCGATTTACCCATTACATCATATACATATACAATGATGAAAAGTCACTTGTATTATTTATAATTAAAGTGGGCTACTTCATTAGCTCTTTAAAGTTCATAAATTGTGATTACAAACAACTAAACCTCAAATGCATATGCTTCATATAATATAATACATATGCATAATGTGAACCCCAAGGTTATCAAGTTTACAAATAGAGTGATATATAAAAGGCAGTGGGGTGGCAAGCTCATTCCAAATCTCTCAGATAGATGCTAACAAATTACTCTAGGGGACCCGTCAGGTTGATAGTTGAGTTGCCCACACAATGTTAATCAAATGAATCAACACAATAGTTTGGCGAGTCTATAGCCCCTTGAAGGCTGTCTCCATAGGGTGTTAGCTCAATGGAACTGATAGTTTGAAAGCAAAAGTAGCATCAAATCAATGAGATGATAGGGTGATGACATCATAAGACATCTAGTGTGGTGAATACTTAAAAGTTAATGATGTCAATTGGAACGATGTAAAAGAAAGTGATGGAACCTATGAGGAATTTGGTTTGTAGAGATGATGGAATATAACCTATGCAGCATCGACACCCATTTGTGACTACACAAGGGTCTTAGTTGCATGCATGCTAATGCACATATAGGGTTGATTGGTAAGAGTTAGCTAAAGGAGTACCAATAGGACATGCAAGACTTTCAAACATTCCAAGTCAAATAAGACATACAACCTCTCCAAGGGTGTCCAAGAACATATGTAGGTAATTAGGCTATTCTAAGGGTTGGTTAACCTTCCCTTCCACTTTGAGTGGAAAAAACTAGGGAAGGGCTATTCAATAGAGGATCTAGTGAAGATAAAGTGTTGGGTGGATAACATAAAAGAGGCAAGTGTTGAAACATAGCATCAAAACAACTTAGAAATAAAGTGGACTTATAAGAAGTCCAAGGAGGAGGCCTATAGATGGAAAGATAATCAGAGATAAGGAAAGAGAAAAAAAACTAATAAATCATATTTAAAATATAATAATTTTGTATTTAATTGCTTCATTTTGTTACATATTATATATAATTTTTTATTTTTCTTTAGACCAAATGCTGCCTTAGGTTTTCTTGAATAAGAATATAAAGCCATTGACTATATGTTCCACATGTGCTTAATAGGCTAATGCTACAAGTCTAAGTCCAACAGCCATCTTTGTGGATTGACTAAGGCTTCATTTTGGGTAGTTTTTTACCACTAATTTTTTATTATTTAAAAAAAATCGTATAAAAATTTTTATTTAGAAAGTAGTAAAAAGTTGTCCCAAACAAATCTAATGTTTAGTTTAGGATGACTTTCTTACTGCTTCTTAAAACAACTTTCTAGTATAAATTTTTTTTAACTAAAAAGTTGTTTAAGAAGCAATAAAAAAGCCGTCTCAAATGAAGCCCTCGTTTGGGATAGCTTTCTCATTGCTTTTTAAATGACTTTTAGTATAAAAAATTCTAATTCAAACTTTTTTCGTATAAAAATTTTTATTTAGAAAGTAGTAAAAAGTTGTCCCAAACAAATCTAATGTTTAGTTTAGGATGACTTTCTTACTGCTTCTTAAAACAACTTTCTAGTATAAATTTTTTTTAACTAAAAAGTTGTTTAAGAAGCAATAAAAAAACCGTCTCAAATGAAGCCCTCGTTTGGGATAGCTTTCTCATTGCTTTTTAAAATGACTTTTTAGTATAAAAAATTCTAATTCAAAATATTTTTTTAACTAAAACTCTATTTTAGAAAGCATTAAAAAGCCCTAAATAAATAAAAAATAACAGCATAAGTAACCAAAATATGGGCCATGCAAATGATAGCAAATGCCCACAATTACTTTTCCTATTTGAATTATGTGCTTACTTCAAAGGAAAAAAAAAAATACATATGATGACTTCTTAACAGAAAATCAAACATGTTGAAATTAAATATTGTGATGTGTTCTATAAAATTAAAATTTTAAAAATATATTTAATAAAATATTAGAAGCCTACATAGTTTCTTACAAATATGTTTATATTTCCTAATTTAAAATTATCTTTCATAAATTCAATCCTAATTTCTAATTTTTAATTTATTTAATTTTTTATTTTATCAGAACACAATACAATTCTAAATTCACTTTAATCTAGAAAATAAATGAGAATATTTTTAGGAAAATCTCATTTTCATTTTAAAATATATAAATATATTATTTGCATAATCCTTCAATTATTACATTAAAAAAATTATGTATGGAAGTTAGTGTTTATATATAATACCATGATAATAACATTGTGAGGGAAATTTAATTTTTCTCTTATTATATTATATTTATTTTAAATTATTTCTAATGTTATTAAATATGTACTTACTAAATTGTAATTAAATATTCTCCCATTTTTCCCTTTAATTATTTTTTTCTAAGTCAAAACGCCCACAGTTTTCTTTCTTCATATCTTTCTTATACACAAACCACACAAACAACCTTAACATCTCCACCTCTCAAACTCTCCTACCCATTCCTCACCTTAACCTCCTAATCTTCTTCCATGGGAAACTCCCTTATTTCGCCCTGCTTCCTCCCCAACTCCACCAAAAACTCTACCGTGAAACTCATCTTCTGGGGAGGCGCCACCCACCTCCTCTCCGGCCGCCACCTCGCCGCCGAACTTCTCTCCAACTTCCCCAACTGCTCCATCTGCCACGCCGACTCTTTCTTCATCGGCCACCCCATCCCCACCCTCTCCTTCTCCGACGAACTACTCCTCGGCGAGACCTACTTCATCCTCCCCACCGACCTCCTCCCCTTCGACACCCTCACTGCAAACTCCCTCGCCCTTCTCAACGGCGGCAAGCGGTGTCCGCCACCACCGAAGGCTAAGTTTCCATTCGAGTATGTGAAGAGGGAAGATGGGAGGAAGGCTGTGAAAGTAGTTCCGGAGTTCATCATGGAGATGATCACCGTTGATGATAGAGGCGGAGAGGCACTGGTCAATGAAGAGATATGCAGCACGCCGGAGCTTAAAAGGCATTATGAGCAGCTAGTGGTTGGGAATAGGCTCTCATGGTCACCGAAGCTGGAGACTATAAGTGAGAGAAAGGTGAGATCGTCTCCTTGCAGATTCTTCGGTTTGGATAACAGATAGAGAGACACAGAGAGAGAGAGAGAGAGAGAGAGAGAGAAAGTATGTGTTGTATTTTTGGATAAAATCTTTAGGTTTTGATATTAATTGATTTGCTCTTCCATTATTTGATTTCAGCAGGTTAATTTTGTTGAGGAATATTGTTACAGAAGCCAAAGCAAAATATTAAAAAAGTTGTCAGATTTTTCATCTATCAAACGACTAAAATTTTCTTGTATAAAAGCTTTAAATTGGGAAGTAAATCATTTTCCTTGATTACTTACTACTTAGCTGGGAATTGAATTGCCAGATCTTTATTATTTGTTTGTTATCCGTAATTCATGGTGAAAGGAATGGTAGAAAAAATTGCATGAGGAGCTTGGAGCTCCTGATTATTAGAATATATTAGGAGTGTAAGAGTAATTTTGACTTAAAACATTTGACTTTTTGTAAGAAATGGAAGGTGATGTAACAGCAGCAAGGAAGAAAACGAATACAGCAATGAAACAGTAAAATTCAGATAATAGAAAGCAACAGTAAACTTCTATTGTATTTCTGTGTAGGATTTTATATCCTTCAAGCTACATGATCAGTACTACATCAAGCAAAGCAAACAAATGAAAAGGAATTTACTACTACAACTGAAAAGGGAATAGAACTGTAATAGTGCTAATGGTGTTGGCCTGAAGTACAGATTAAGATGGTGCACATCAGATCTCTACCACTCCGGAAGTTCTCGCATTCGGCGATTTGACCGTGGTAGTAGTGAGGTTAACTTAGTTTGTACATCCTTTGGCATTGTTGTAAACACATCTGTAAACTTGGCTGCAAGGGTGCTGTGACATTTTGGCAAAACAACAAGGTCAAGTAAATGATTAGGCATTTTACTATAGACTATTCTGAATGGACATTAACCTATGGATTTGTTAATTGGGCATAGAAATATTGAATGTGAATTCAACTTGACTGAGTAGTTCTTCCCACTGTTTTGGGTGATGTTGAATGAGACAAAGAAGTATGCTCTCAAGGGTTTAATGATTTTAGTTTGGCCATCTGATTGAGAGTGATAGGCATAGTTCAATTTCAAATCAATTTTTAAACATTTCCACCACTCCCTCCAAAGATGATTGATGAACTTGACATCACAGACGCAAGTTAAACGACGATGCATGTAATCAAAGAATTTCTTTGAAGAAGAGGCGGGTTATATTTAGTGTATCAAAGGTCTTTTTACAAGGAATAAAGTGGGTAATTTCAAGAATCTACCTACAACAATGATAGGTCGGTTCCTCCTAAACCGGCCCAACCGGCCTGTCCAGGGCCGGTTCATGTTTACAAGAGGCAGGCTAGTCCCGCCTTCCTTATGGATGCCGCCCATTATAGTGGGTCCAACTTGTCCAATTAAATTCAAATTTGAAAAGGAGGGGGAGGCTAGGGCTTGGGAAGGAATTTTGTTAGGAAAGCTATTGTATTAAATATCATGAAATATTTTAGCTTTAGGTTATGCTTGATTTGTTTTCAATTAGAGTTCTTTGGTGACTTGGGCTCTAAACTCTCTTGTCTAGAGATTTGAGAGAGACGATCCTCCTCTCGAATTGAAGATCTCTTTTATCTTGTTTTCATTCTTGTTTGACTTTGATTTTCCTACCACAATCTATCGTGTTGGGGCTAATTTCACCCAGATTTTGTATATTTATTCTCGCTATTTTTCACCAATTGGTGATAAGTTTGCTTTCGTACTCAAGTATTACCCTTAGGGTTACTTGCGAACTCAAGTATTTCCTATCAAATTGGTATCAGAGCAAGTCTTGGGACCATTCGTGGACTGATTTTGACAAATTCCAATGGCTGATTTTTGGCCGAGAAAGGAGAAGGTTGTTGTTTTTGTAATACAAATCCAAAATTTTTGGATCTACAAAAATTCTGATCGAGATGTGGCCAAAAAATTAGATGCACTAAAAGAAAGGCTTGAATGGGAGATGAACCAAATCAAGACAATAGTGGAGAAAAGGATTTCCTCCATGGAAGGACAAGTAGCCAATCTCTGGGACATGATAAAAAAATATTAGAAATCCACAACCAAACGGTGACTTCCGTGGCAAAAGGGGTGGAAGGAAAAACAAAAATTATGAAATTCGTAGGGAGGAAGATGAGGTGGAAATTGTGGAAGGAGAAAGAAGAATGTCTCATCTAGAGCATGTCCAGAGGGAAGAAAGAGGAGGTGGATATGGGGAATGCCATGAGGCCATGCTATGGACGTCGAGGTGCTGATTTTGAAGAAAGAAGAGGGAAATTCGAAAGGGGCTTGGGCTATAACAGGGTGAGGGAAGACCGGGAGACGTGGGGAGGGCCAATCACTTAGGAGAGGGGAGGCTATGGAAGAATAAAGGGGAATGGTGGAGATCATAAAGTGAGAAAGCTGAAGATGCCCATATTTGAAGGGGAGGATGTGCATGGGTAGATTTATCATATGGAGATGTACTTCACCGTCAATGGCTGACGGAGGAGCTAGGATAAGCTAGGTGATAGTTGCAAGCTTATGTTTGGAAGGGAATGCACTGCCATGGTTCCAGCGGAGAGACCATAGGAGACCTATCTGGAACTGGAGGGAATTTAAAGACTGCATAATAAAACATTTCCAAACCAACCGTGGAGGAGATTTCCATGAGCAGTTCTTTGCTCTGGTGTAGGAGGGATCGATCAGTAGCAGACTATCGGGAGCGATTTGAGCAACTGTCCATTAGGGTGGAGTGATTATCAGACACTGTATTGGAGGGAAACTTCATGAAGGGGTTGAATACAGAGATCTGAGCAGTAGTGAAGATTCTGATGCCTCGTGACTTGGGGGAGGCCATGAAGTTGGCACAACTAGTTGAAAATCAGAGAAATTTTGGTAGGGGAGCTAGGAATAATAGCAGAGGGGGTACTTACAGGATGACGACCACCTATATAGCTCCTAAAGATCCTACAACAAGAGGAAGTCGGTAGACCACCAAAGAGAAGATAGTAGGAGGAGGGAGTGGAAAAATTTCTAGTGGCTGACATAAAAGGAGATGTATGAGAAGATGGCTAAGGGGTTGTGCTTCAAGTGTGATGAAAAATATACGCTACGGCATCAGTGTAAGGATCGAATTCTTCAGGTTCTCGCCATCTATAATGACGAGAAAACTAAGGAGGGAGGTGAGGGGGAGTTAGAGGAGGAAATGGAGGAGAAGCTGTATTTGTATCTGGCTGAGATTTCCCTGAACTAGATGGTAGGATTCACCACGAATAATACCGTTGAGGTGAATGGGGAGATAAAAGACAAGAAAGTGGTGGTGTTAATTGATAGTGGAGCTACCAATAATTTCATTTTCACTCAGGTCGTCGACCAATTGGGTGTGACATTTATGGATACTAGTTGTTATGGGGTGATGATGGGTACGGGGAAGTTGGAGAAAGGCTAGGGGATCTGTATATGAGTGTTACTAATTATTCAGGGGATTTAGATGAGAGGAGAATTTCTTCTATTGGAGTTAGGGAGTATAGATTTCATCTTGGGGATGAAGTGGCTGCAGACCTTGGGAGACACCAAGGTTAATTGGGGAGCACTAACGATAGAGTTAATGGTGGATATATGGAAGGAAGATGGTGATCAAGGGAGAAGCAGGGCTATCCAAATATATGGTTTCTGTTAAAATTATGATGAGGAATATATAGTTGGTGGGTGGATGATATTTGGTGGAGCTGCACAATTTGGAGAGAGCTAGATTAGAAGAGGGAGGGGACATACTCCTCTCTATACAGCCACTGATTCAGCAATTCCAATAGATGTTTCAGCCACATCAGGGATTTTCACCATCGATGATATAGGAACATGCCATCATTTTAAAGAAGTGTTTGTCACCCATCAGCGTATGACCCTATCGCTACCCTCAGTTTTAGAAGGATGAAATTAAAAAGTTGATTAGAGAGATGCTGGCTTGGAGGTAAGAATCATCATACCCAGCATTAGTCTCTTCTCTAGTCTAGTTTTATTAGTGAAGAAATACGGCAGCTGGCGATTATGTGTGGACTATAGGGCGCTTAACAAGAAAAATGTACTTGATAAGTTTCCATATCCGTTATTAACAAGTTGTTAGATGAGTTGAGTGGAGCAGTGATATTCAGAAAGATAAATCAGAAATTAGGTTCAGAATGAAGAAGGAGAATATGCCCAAAACAACCTTGAGGGATACTATGAGTTCTTAGTGATACCTTTTGGCCTCACCAATGCCCAAGCCACTCTCCAGGCACTTATGAATAAGGTTTTCAAACCATATCTCATATGATTTATACTGGTATTCTTTGATGACATCTTAGTCTACAGTAGGACTAAAAAGAAGCACTAGGAGCATTTGAAGAGGGTGTTAGAGGTACTGCGGGAGCACCTGAAGAAGTGCTGCTTTGCACAAGCCAGTGTAGAGTATTTGGGCCATGTTGTATTAAAAGAAGGGGTGGCAGTAGATCAGTCTAAAATTGAGGCAAAGGTATAATGGCTAGTGCCTAAAAATCTGAAAGAGCTGAGGAGATTCCTATGATTGACAGGTTACTACAGAAGGTTTGTAAATGTATACATCACCATAGCAATGCCACTCACTAAGCAGTTGAAGAAGGATGGTTTTGTATGGGAGGAGGCGACCGCATCCGCATTTGAGATGTTGAAGAAGGCTATGACTACGGTGCCGATCCTAGATTGGTCATATTTCACTTAGATCTTTATAGTGGAGACAGAAACTTCAGGGTATGGACTGGTGGCAGTACTTGTGCAGAATCATTGACCCATTGCCTACTTCAGCCAGGTGTTGACAGCTGGATTTTGGAAAAGACTAGTTAGGCTAAGAAGAAGGTGAAAGATGCTACAAGTTTTATTTCTCACTTTTGCTTTATACAAACTTAAAAACATCACCACTATTTATACTAGTATTATCACATTAGGATTCTATTGACACATTTTGATCCCAAGATTACAAATGATTCTTTAGAATACTCTTTTATTTTCTACAATAAATAACATTAATGTTATTCTAGACTTTTCTTAGAATAATTCTAGAATAAGTTTCTAGCTTCTTGTACAATAGATTATTCTAAAATATGAGTGTTGCGTCCAGGAGTATTCGCGGCGGTAGAGAAATATCATATTTAACGTCTT